AAATTAAAACAAATAATATATAATATATAATATAAATAATATGATAAAAAATTATATATTAATTTGACAATAACTTACTAAATCTAAAAAATAAATTAATAAGAAACATCATAGTTCAAAACATTTTTTTTTAAAATCTTGAATCTCCCTTTCTTGTTAATATTTTTATTAAGTTTTTTTTTTTCTTTTTCATTACATAAAAGTTAAGGGAGGAGAGACGAGAATGATTATCTTCTTTATTTATGTTTTTATTAAGATTATTTATTTTTAAATAAAATTCAATCCTCCCTTCTCTATGTCTATTTTTATTGAGATTTATTATTTTTCAAATAAAATCTCAAATTCTTCCTTATTTTTATTTTTATCAAGATTTATTCTTAAAAAAAAAAAACTCAAATCCTCATTTCTTTATTTCTATTTTTATCCAGACATTGTATGTTTTAAAAAAAAATTCTAATTTGCATATTGGACAATTGAGTCACGCGCGTCAATATGGAGACATGTTCATTTACAAGTGTCCGCAATGGAGATACATTAATTTTGTAGGTGCCCACAATGGAGACGTGTTCAATTTATGTGAATGTGATTTGTTGAAACGTCTGAGATGCGTCCATAACATGTGCACTCTAAAAGAGTATCGTATTTAAAGACATGACAGTCACATGTTGTGTTCATGTAATATATAATTTTACTTGCATAACATATTAACAATAGTCTATTATTATTTATTAATTTTTTTTAAAAAAATCATAGTTAACAATTCAATAAAAACTGTTATAAATATAATGAGAAAAAACATATATGTAACATTTACATATATTAGAATTAATTTAACATTTTTTTACATATAAAACACACACACACATACATATATATATATATATATATATATTCTAAATTATCAAGTTTATTCTTTTATGTGTATATAACGACCCACCATGACCGTTACATTGTGCAACACATAACTAAACCACGCATATACATATACTGAAATAAGTATAAGATATATATACAACTCAAGTTACTAAGCAAGCAACAATAAACATATACAACGAACTACAAAATAATCCACCACTAGGGTAGTCAACAAAATAAAACCAGTTACTCTACCAAAGAATAGCCTCCATACGCATCTCTCTAGTCTATCCCTGCCCTGCTCTCATACAACGTATGATTATCACAATCCAAATCACATGGAAACATGTAAGGGTAAGTTAGATAAAATAAGCAATTCATAATTAAATTTGCAACACATCAACTATAAATTCATCTTCACATCCAACACAAGCAACAAACAACATATATACTACACATCTTAACAACACTTCAACAATACAACACATATCAACACATCAACACACATGCATCGTTATGCATTTCAACTCGGAGATCTCCTACAACACAAGGTGAGCAGTCTAAGTGACTAGGTCCTATTGAACCGACAACACAAAACTTTTTTGGGCTTTCTAGGTAAACAACAAATTTGGATAAAAATTTACAACACGATAATGGTTTCTTAAAGTTTTCCACTTAAACAAGGATGTATAGTACTATGTCAGGATATGACAGCTGGGTTTAGGCCTACCATGACATTAGCTAGCTTAACTAAGCCACCTATGTGATTAACCTACTGACTATCCTTCAAATATTACAACCCTTCGATACTCGGTTAGGAACCAGATTCCTGACTTCGTACTTTACTCGAATTGACCGCTTATAATCGGTATAGCTCGACCTAACCCCTATATCGTGGTCGCTTCACATGCACGTGTGCCTCGACATTGTCCACACACGGGATCAACTAAGTCCTAGAGGAGAACAACACATCATCCACTCTAAGGGACAATTTTCCAAGGAAGGTTTTTCAGCAAATTGGGTTCTTAGAGCATCACAACTATCTCAATCCACACAATGAGGATGAACAACTTTGAAAACATCTCCTATAGTCCTAGTGATTAACAACTCCTCATCACAGCATAACAACACAATTATCATCTCATCAACTCAACTATCAACTTGTTTCAACTTTAAACAATACAGTCAACTCAACAGCTCAAGTCACAACTTACAGTTCAACTATCACAAAGTAACATGTTTTCAACACATAGTACAACATACAACTTTATAACAACATACAACACTCATCATATTTCACGACATATAAATAGTCAACACACAACAATAACAACTTAATTTCAACATGTTTCAACCATATTATCTTTTCAACATATAATTGATCAACACACAACTCGTAAACAACTTCAACAACATACAAAATATTCAACACATAATACAACTCACCCATCATGTTTACAACTCATCTATCATGCCAACTTACACAACATAAACAATATGAGTTAACTTAAGCACCCAAAACAACTTTCAACTTAACCAAATCACTTATTGTGAAATGACGACCTTCACCTAAAATAGCACATATGAAGTTATACTACACCTATCATGTTTATCCCTATCTCATATGAAAGATAAAAAGATTTACTACAACTCTCATGAAGACATCAAATCCTAATTCCCATCATCTACCTTGTTAAAAAATGTAAAAATCGCAACAACTAGCCTAAATCTTGATAGCTTGACGTTTTCTCACTAAAAAGGTCATAATTGGAGTTCTAGATCTCCTATTTGAGTGATTCCAACACCATTGGAAAGCTGATATCCAATGCTACAACTTTTATAAAGACAACAAAGTCTAATTCAGAAAGCACCAACGCGCTCAGTGCCTCCCAAAGCGCTTAGTGCTTTGCCTCCAGGGATCCTCCCTGTCACGCGGCCCCCAAAGAGCTTAGCCCTTTCAAATGGCTCAACCCTTTCAAAAACGCTCAGCCCTTTTAAATGGCTCAGCCCTTTGGTTCCAAAGATCCCCCTCTGTCACGCGGCCCTTAAAGGGCTCAACCCTTTAAAATGACTTAGCCATTTGATGATAGAGGGCATCATGTTCTTCACCATTTTTGGACCTCTATGCCTGAAACTCAAAAAAATTCAACATGTAATGGAAGAAATAACACCCATGCACCAAGAACAACTCAATTCAAGTCACAGAAACAACATGCAACCATACATTTTCCCCAAGATCATCAATTCACCACACATGTAATAAGAACCTCAAAACTCAGTACACACATGCAAGCAATTCCAATCCATCCTCTAAAACTGAAAATTTAAAAAATCCTACTGACTTTAAGTCCTAAATTCGTTCAACACCCAACCAATTCAACAAAAACCAAAGTCTCCAGCTTCCCTTACCTTGGAAAGGAAGAACACCGAATCTGGCTATCCGAGGAAGAAGAAGAGAAGAAACAAGAATGAAACTCCGACTACAATAACTTCAAAGCTTTCCTTGCACACCAATGGCTCAACAACCTTGAGAATCAACAAGATAGTGAATGAGCTTTGAGAGAAGGAAATGAGGAAAAGAGAGGGAGAAGGCTTGCGAGTCTTACAATGTGAATTGTAAGGAGAGAGAAGCTTCAAAATACTACTATTTTTTTCTGCTCTATTTCACCATACAAGTGATATTTGAGATGTTTTTTTTTTCAAACACTAAAAAAATAGTATTTTCTATTTTCATAATAACTATCCTATTAAAAAAGTCTTAAAATAAGTGTTATATTAATTTTTTAATATAATATTATTTTATTTTTATTTTGATAATATTATATAAAATTATTTTTTCATCATATCATTTCTAAAAAAAGAGATTATTCAATTTTATTTATATAAAATAATTTAGAACGATATTTATTACTAGAAGAAGATAATAAATAATATAAATAGTGAGGTAATTTGCTTCAATTATTTTTATTATTAACTATATCATGGCAGATTCCATCGTATTAGCTATTTATTTGTGACAAAATTTTTAACACTGTATATTAGAAAATAAATAGTGCAATAGGAAAAAAAAACAAATGGTAAAATTTCTCATAAAAAAGTTATTGTATATATAAATGTTATTGTAATAATTTTTTAAAGCTAAATAATATGGGATGGGACTATTGATATTCTGATATATCTTTTTATACTCTTCTCATTTTTTTAGTTAACTTTCCACTTTTATCTGTATGCAAGCGAAACTTATTTATTTATTTATACTTTATTTTTGTTTTTAAAATTGAAAATCTAAAATATGAAATTTACTTCATTTGTCTCTTGTATGAAATACTAAAATATGATGAAAAACTAAAAAAAAAAAAAGATTTTATTTTTCATTTAAAAAATAAAATGAATTTATAATTGTAATTGAATAATTAAACGGATAGTATTTTTAATATTTTTAATATCATGTGAACTAAATAAAAATTGTATTTTACTGAGAAAAATTGAAATTAAAAATAATTTTCTAAAAAAGCAACGAGAAGACATGAGATAATTATTAGTATTACTTTTTTGCTTTTATATATAACATCAAAGAGGAAGATATTTGCAAAACAACAGTGACAAATCACTCAAGATTGTCCGATATGGGATTTAAGTTGAATCTTTTCGCCTTTGAATAAAAAACCTATCATGAATTGGATCGATAGTAACTGATGGGATTTGATTTTGCTAAATATCTTCTTCACAGTATTGATCTATAACTTTACTTTACTGGATGTAATATCTACATAATGTATATAAACTCTTTCAATTAATTTACACATTTTATGATTTTCAAATTTGTAAATTATTCAAGTTATTTTCTAAAATTTCTTTTAAATTTCTTCATAATGGTTGTTGTTTTTGTTTTGAGGGAGTGAAGTTGGGTAAAAAAGTAAAAAACCTGAGTGGTGTTGTTTGGACAGTGAATGAGAGAGAGACAATAAGAAAGGTAACTTTATTGAGTAATGGGAAGAGTAGGCAGTAGGCGGTGGGCAATAATAGCGCGTGTGAAGCAAAACGAGAGAGCAATGCGCCACGTTGATTATTCCCAAAGCATAAGAAGTTTCCGTGTCACCCCAACCTAACCCTCCTTTCCAACTATATATACTAGACATGCCTCCACCGTCTTTGCTTTTACACCCAACTTCATTCATCCCCCCAAACCCCTCTTTACTTCTTTCAACTCTCATCACTCAATGGCCCAAACCCAAACCCAAACCATATCCATTGCTTACCACACCCACCGCCTCTTACCCGAACCTGATGTTTTCATTCACTCCTCACACGGAACACGCATTCCAGCACACTCTGCACTTCTGGTTAGTTACTTACTTACTTTCGGAGCATTTTTTTCTTCAAATTAATTAATTATTTTTCCCATCCAAAAGGCTTCGGTGTCGCCGGTTTTGGAGAACTTGATAGACCGCCCACGTAAGCATCGGAGCTCCGAGACAATAATCCAAATCCAGGGGGTCCCCGGCGCCGCCGTCACCGCCTTCGTCGGCTTCCTCTACTCCTCCACGTGCAGCGAGGACGAGATGGAGAGGTTCGGGATGCACCTTCTGGCATTGTCGCACGTGTACATGGTGCCGCAGCTGAAGCAGAGGTGCATCAAGGGTTTAACGCAGCGCTTGACCACGGAGAACGTCGTGGACGTCCTGCAACTGGCGCGCCTCTGCGACGCACCGGATCTCCACCTCCGCTGCATGAAGCTCCTCGCCAATAACTTCAAGGCCGTCGAGGCCACCGAGGGATGGAAGTTCCTCGTCAACCACGATCCCTGGCTCGAGCTCCACATTCTCCGTTTCATCGACGAACACGAAATCGTAACTAACTAACTAACTAACTAACTCATTTATCATTTTTTTTTTCAATTCGAATTGAAATTGTCGAATTAGTTGTGATTGATTATTTATTGTTTACAGAGGAAGAAGAAGTCGAGGAGGCACAGGGAGGAGCAGGGGCTGTACGCGCAGCTGAGCGAGGCGATGGAGTGTTTGGAGCACATATGCACGGAGGGGTGCACCGACGTTGGACCCTACGACGCGGAGAGAGAGAGGACACCGTGCGCCAGATTCGCCACGTGCCAAGGTCTTCAGGTTCTCATCCGCCACTTTGCCACGTGCCAGAAGAGGGTGAACGGTGGCTGCGTGCGCTGCAAGCGAATGTGGCAACTCTTTCGGCTTCATTCCTATGTTTGTCACCACACCGATTCCTGCAGGGTTCCTTTTTGCAGGTATTTTCGAATTCTAAATTCAAATCCTACTCGGTCCAACCTTTTTTTTTTTTTTTCCTTCGAGTATAGTATTAATAAATTTTTAAAATGAAAATTGCCGTGAGGTGCTATATTATTATGACTAATTCTGGTCTTTATCACTTTAGAATCTTCAGATCTGTCAAATATATATATATCATTGACGGCTAGACTATATTAAGGAAAAAGTATTGGTCATGACTTTTCTTTGCCTTTTTCCATGTTTTTTAACTTTAAAATTAAAAGGGTAGAAAAGCAGTTTCTTGCAAATAAATTAATAGACCAGTATTGTTTTATTTTTTAAAATTAGAGATTAGAACCTACGATTGAGACGGATGGTTGAGAGTTATTTTTTTCCTTAATTAATTCATCTTCTCAGTTGTGCTCACAGTAAAAACTTCCCACTTCCCATCTTTCATTTTGGTAAAAGTTAAACCAGTTCCATGCACACAAAAGTAGATTTGCAGGATTAGTTTTATTTGATTAATAGACCAGAGAAGAGAATAGGGGCTGAGACTAATATAGAAGGAGCAAGAGATCAACCAGAACTTGTGAATTAGCGCTTTTTTTTATTTTTTATTTTTGCGATGAATTTGTGTTTTGAGCTTCGCCATCGCAGAAAGTTCACTTATTATTTTGATAAGGAATTAGTCCATGATGAGTTAGCAAATTGCTGTTTCACGGATTTTGATTGTTTAGCAAAGGGAATCAATCATCAATCGTTTTCATTTGAGAAATAATTTAACCTGTTTGTGATATTAAATCTGATTCCTATGTCCGGTTTCTTCATTGTTAGATTAGGGGTCCCATCATGATTTGTATGTTCATCGATGGATTACTTTTCGCGTTTTCTAGCTCGTTCCAGATATTTTTCAGGGCCATATGCAGTTGGCCGGCTGGCATCCTTATGCAGTTGGTCTCGTAGTTGTTATCAACTTATCAATTATCACCCTACTTATCTTCATCACCACCATAACTAGTGCTTAGTCATGTCCTAGTCAGGCTTTTTTTTTACATTTCATAGAACCAACGTGGTGTATACTTATTAGATAGAGCAAGGGTCCAAAAATGAATTAATGATGGGACCCCCTACAAAATAAAATATCCATGGTTGGTGATATACATCTACTTTGCTTTTTATGAAAAAAAAGAAGGAAAAAAGCGTACTAAGCTAGTGACATAATTGGGCCTGGGTTTTCTATCAATCACACATCTAATTAATTGTACCTTTAACTAAAGGCAAACGATCCCTACTTCCTCTGCAAATCAAAACATCAACAAATAATATTAATATTCTCGTACTTATCTAAAAAAATCATTTTTTTTATGTGTAAAAACATTTTTAGCCAAATGGTATTGCACTTAAATTACCAATTGGCCTAATATAACGTCCAATTTCAGTTGGTGGTGCGCCCAAAATCCATGTAGCTGTCCTTGCTTCCTTCTAATATTGTGATGATTGTATTGTCTTACCTATTAGCTGTCGGTGTATTTTAAAATTGCTCAGCATGTCAGTCGCAGCTAACACCTAACATACGCTGTTTTGGTGAATGTGACAGGCAATTTCAATTGAAAATGCAGCAAAATAAAAGGAAAGATGATTCTAGGTGGAAACTACTAGCGAGGAAGTTGGCCTCAGCCAAAGTCATGTCTTCCTTGTCTTTGCCAAAGAGGAAGCGAGATGAGGAAATGAGAGTGACAATAAACAATCCCGGGATTAGAAGCTATAAATTACTATGAATATTGTAATGATGTACAGGAGGACAGTGTGCTTCTTGTTGATAGGGCAGTTTCCTTGGAGAGAATATTCTGCTTTTAGTTCTGTGTGAAAGCAGGTTTTTGAATAGTGTGAACTTCTTGTACTGGCTCTTTACCAGAGGAAATGACAAATCGAGTATTAGCTTATAACTGTAAATTTTGTTTGTTGTAGATATGAACAAATTGAACCTCATTATGTGTTGTCATGAGATTTTGAGAACATTGTAAGCTAGTGTTCAATTTGATAAATTATGTGTAGAATATTCAAATATTCGTTTAAAATGTTTTTTTTTATTAATTTATATTTTGAATTGCATAGCAACGGTGAGTCATTATAAAGTTTTAAGGTTAAATCAACTTTTTGTCTATAATTTTGTGAACTTGCAATTTTGGTGCCAATTTTTTTTTATTACAAATTTGTTCTTTTTAAATTTATAAAATTAATAAAATATATTGACATATTTGTGAATATTTTTTTTATATAATTATTTAGTCACGTTAGTTTTTATGTAAAGAATAATATTATTTTTATTATAGTTATATATCATGTTTCTTTTTTTTTTTTAACTAAAGTTTATAATTTAGTAAGTATTTTAATTTTTAATATTATTATTTTCCTACATTACTAATAACAGTAAATAGTACCACTCATAGATATTTATTGATATTTTTTTGTTTGATATTTTTTTGTTTAATTTTGAATAATATATTAGTGGTTGATTAAAAAATTATTTAATTTTAAAAACTAAGTCAATATATTTTTTTTTTGTTGTTTAATTTTGAATAAATTAACATTATTTGATTTTAAAAATTAAAAGAAATAAGTTTTCAATAAAAAATTGGAAAGATCAAAATTAAATATTCGCGACATTGCACGGAACAAAAGTGAATTTGAACCTTAGTTTTATTATGTCATCTCATGTCTTCCCTGGATTGATATTTGTTAAAATTAGAAGCTAGAGACGTTAAAGATTTCGACATGATTAACTATGACAAGTCTCGGGGCAACATAGATATAGATAAATGTTGGGACATTATCATTGGTGTAAGAGAAGAGAAGAGAAGAGAAGAGAAGAGAAGAGAATAGAGTGAATGATGATTACAGTCCCTAATTTTGAAGTCAAAACAATAGGAAATGGCCTACACGTTAGTCCCACAATGGCACAGAGTGACAGACATTGGTCCTATGAAATAACCAAAGCAAAGGCATTGAGGCGTTATTGATGTCCTATAGCAACCCATTAACCAAAGCAAAACTACCACTGGCTGTGTAGTCCTAGACAAAGTTAAGTGCATAAATTTAAATTGAGAGGCACCGCCGAAAGAACATTGCAACACCATTTGACTATTTGGAACTCCATCGTTGTGGTAATGTGGTCAATATGAAGCAAAGCATTAGCCTTGGCTGTTGGCTTCCACTAGCTTCATCATTGCAGAGATATTATTTGTTCAAACAGATTGTGATATTCTCATATTAAATACGTCATATCACTTTTACGCTTTACTACTTGCTTTGAAAAGCAACTACATTAAAGTCCAATTGTCACACTTGGATGAACCGGAATTATTACTAACTAGTAAGAACATGTAAACATAAAATTTCAGTGATGCGTTCTGAACTTTCATTTACCCAAGTTTGAATACGCGGCAGCTATGTGTAACTTGTGTCTCTCCAAATAATTATTAGTTGTTTCATGTTACTTTTGTAGGAAATTTCACTCAGATGCAGATCACGCGAGCACAAACTCCGGAAGTATTCATGCATTCACTTTCGTCCTTTTATTTTATTTTATTTTAAATTATTTGGACTTTTAGGTTTCAATTACCGTAAAAAGAAACTTTAAATTTGTATTAATATTAATTTTGTAAAACATCATTGTTGTCCATTTTGAGATAATTATGAATTTCTTTACTGATTCAGAACATGAAATTAATTTCATATTATATATATATATATATATATATATATATATATGGTGGAAGAGATTCATTTAGTAACTTTTGGTATAAAATTATTCTACTCATTTTACATTAAATTTTAATAGTCCAGCCATTAAATTAATTTTTTAATAAATTAATTAAATTTATAAATTTTAAAAAGTTTAATTTAAAAATTATTTAATATTTTATTAAATTAAGTCAAGTTAACATATATTAAAACATATTATACATTAATTTGAATATATATGACAAAGTATCATATAATATTCAAATTTTATAATAATTCATAACTTTAATTTATTAATTAAAATATCATTAAAATTTAATATAAATTATGATTTATTAAATATAATAATATTACTAAAAGTTATTCTTGAAATAAGTGGATTTTCTCTTAAAAAATTAATCATTTTAATTTTTGTAATTTTTTTTACATTACATGCTACCCAGAGAATGACACAAAATTGTTTAAAATAATTACCTTGATTTAAAGATATAAAAATAAATATTATAAAAATATGTGTATATAAATCAATTAATTATATAAGTAATTTAATCTCTATTTTATGATAGTTGGAAATTTAACAAATATTGTCATAATGAAAGGAAAGAAATAAGGAAAAAGGTAAACGTATTTTCTAACAATAAAATTTAAGTTTTTCTTTGATTTTAATATTTTCAAATTTAAATTTCATTTTTTCTTCTATTTTTCTCACAAGAAGGGGAAGCAGCCCATTTATTTTCATTTTACAAAATATATAATGGATGTATTATTGCAAGTCAATTCCATTCTCTCTACTGCTTACATCATGGCATGGGTCACCATTGATTCAATATTATCAAAATACAATAATAATAGGGTGAACATAGTCGATTTCGTTCTCGCTACTGTTTACGTCATGACATGGGTCACCTTTGATTTAATATAATCAAAATGTAAATATGGTAAATGCTAACAAGTGTGGTGTTTTTATGAAATTAAAAAAAAAATATTAGAAAATATTATTAATATACCTTTTTTTTGTATTATATTTTCAACGTATCTTTTATCAATAATAAAATCATTATATATATTAATTTCCTAACCAATACCAGCATAGTCTAATAATAATCATATTTGCGGCAAAATGAAAAATGTGAATCAAATTAATATTAAGTTGGAATGGGATATATATTAATTAAGCTTTAAATGTAATGAAAGGAATTAATTAAGGTTTAGTAAAAGTAAAGCTTTATATCTTATTAAGAGATTTCAAAACAAGATTGTTTAACAGTGATATCTTTGAAAAAAAGAAGAAGAAGAAGCAATTCCTAGTGCCAGTTAAACTGCAATAACGAAGCTTTTCAAGTCTGAGGACCACGATAATATCTTTGTGTGGCCAAAATGCTGACGATTTGATGTATATGATTGACAATTTGCTTGGTTAATCACTTTTTCTTAGTGAGGTTGGTATCAATCAATAATTCTAAATATCTCCTGAAATATCAACTTCAAATTGTATTTGAATCTTCCCATTTATTTTAATTTACAACACAACAGAAACAAAATATAAAAAAAATAATTATAGTACAACAATTTGTCAAGATCATTTGGCATGGTGATTTACATTTTATAAGTATATCAACTGACGTAATAAAAAAAATTCAAGTTATCTATCTATATAGATTTATGTTTATAATTATTTAATATAATTATGAAATTAAATAGGTAAATTAAAAGGTGATTAAATTAAATTACGTAAAGAAATATTTAATTACAAAATTAAAAAAAAAACAATAATTTGGGTGAAATTAATATATATAAAAGTATTGAAAGATTGATTCACTAAATTTTTCTATGTAAAATTGTATAAATTTTTCATTTAATTTGTAATTAAATATTTAATTTAACAACGTACACTTGTATTTAAACTCAAATTTCTTAGGTGAAACATTTTAAGTTGTTTAAGGAAAACTTTAATTTCTTACTAAGTTTTGTTAAACAATCCTTCATTAAGGTCAGGGATGACTAAATGTTGATGGCTGAGATTTATCCCAATTCCTTGGTAATATAAATGTCATCAGTGTTTTCTCCTGATCATGGTTTCAAAAAGATTTTCCAACCTTAATTAATTCTAATAAAAATCATGCATTGGGTGATCAAACCAAAATAAAAATTAAGAATAAAAGAAAAACAATTAACTGAATAATACTTTTATTGAATGAAAAAATAGAAGAAGAATTTACATAGTTCCATTAGCTACTTCAATCTTCAACAATGGAAAACTTAACCACTCATGATTAAGAATTACAACTCTAGATGAATCTTTGAATGATCGATGATTACGGTGTTGATCTCACAAAACTCTCTTTAATCCTCTAAAATTGTACTAAAAAGAATGTTTTACAATCTAAACAAATTTTTGAAACCCTAATTTTATAATAATTTCTAATGGGCTTTCGGGTTGAGTCTAATTGCTTAGAGCATCTATGTTACTCATTCTGAGTGACCAAGTAAATATGTCTAGAGGTGTCTTCTACCTTGACTCGCTTAAAGCGAATTTATGGAAGCTCTGAGCGAATTTTACTCGCTTAAGCACTTAGGGTGAGCGCTTTTAGCAACCAAATGTTGTTTTTCAGTGTTACTTTTTGTCTTGACTTGCTCAAAGCAAATTTATGGTAACTTTGAGAAAATTGGGGTCACTTAGAACGTCCATGTTATTCGCTTTAAACGAGCTAATGTAGTCTTTCAGTGTTGTTCTCTGTCTTGGCTTATTCAAAGTGAATTTGTGATAATTCTGAGCGAATTTTCATAGCTTGAAGCAACGATTATGTACAGTCTAGAATGATGCTTAATTTTCCTTTGAAGCTTTGTAGATTTCCTAATTATTTTATCGTGTTCCATTTCAACAAAGAAAAATATAAAAAAATACCTAATATTCACAAAATTAAACTAAAATTGAAATTAACTTTTGACTAAATATTTTGTAGAAAACAACAAATTTAAAATAATATATATATATATATATATATATATATATTAATAATTACCTAA